AGTCCACAGATCTTAAAGTTGCCAATGTTGAGAAACACTGGCCAAGACAGAACTTTCCAGGGCTTAAGCTACATTTCCTTGCTAGGAAAGTTTTGGATATGTGGATATTAACTGTGGGCAGGCAAATAATGTGATTAGTTAAGATAGCAGCATGCAGACACTTACCAGGAGGTGCAAATGCAGCAAAAAGGGCAAACTGGGTTTTTCCAGGTGAAATATGGAGAAAGGCAGAGAGGTCTTTTCTTACATCATGGCAGTATGTTAAGGGAGAGGCCATTTTGGCATAAAGCATTTTGAGAAAGTTGGCATCGTTTATTAAGGCAGATGCGGGTGAGTGAGCAGGGAAGCTGATGACGTATAGAGAATTAGCCCTAAGAAAGTTTTGAAACTTGAAAGGCAGCCTGTTGGGGGGGAAAGGGGGGCATTTTGATTTCTGCTATATTTGGGGGTCATGTAAGCCTAACATCCACGTGTACAGGAAATTGTTTTTGCAAAGAGTTTCAAGGCACTTGGAATGACAAGGGCTGCCTGAAATGGTATAGAAAAGAAGTTTATGGTCAATGCTATCAATGAGGAGCAGCACTCAACTGACTGCGTCTGTGTTTGGAATTTGGATTGAGGCTGGTTCATTCTTGGATGTGAGACCACCAGGGGATCCCAGGGCTGTAGACTAGGCTGGGCTGCTGAAAAACCATCCTGAAAGGAGATGGTGCCAACCACTCTGGTTGGTATTACCAGGAAAATTCATTCCTTTTTATATGCCCAGGAACAATTGTTTTCTGTATCCCTACCGGTCCCCATTCCCACCCCACCTCCCCCCAAAAAGACAGCGGAAGGGTTTGAGGATGTTTGTAGAGGATTAAGTGCTGGAGAGATTATCCCCTACAATCTTCTTCATGCCCAGGCTTCCTTCGCATTCATCATTTTCCAAGACAACACAGCAGTTGATTCCTTTTAAAAACGCCTAAGTTTCTCTCTAAAAGCAGAACAGATCTGCTTGGCTATAGAGACTCCTTTTGAACCGTGTTTCAGTTGATTTTTGTTCCCGTTTGAGCATGTTTGACTTCTTCAAAGTCTCTTAGGACAGGATATTACTTTCATCTAAAGTACAAAACTTTATAAACAGTAATAAAGGAGAGCTAGAACCACGAGTTCATTGTGTAATTTGGGCTTGGATGATCTTGCTACAAAAATAGAAGCATCAAGATGCTATTAAGAAAGTGTGGCGTGTCCTATATAGTTTTGAATACATAATCTTTGAGAAAGTTTTAATATAATTGGAACTTGCTCTCATGTTACAACTAAATCCTTGCCTTATTTCAGTGGTTTCACGATGTTTTTTCAGCTTGGCTTTGGTTGAATGATCTCTAAATAATTTAGAAATGCCTGTGTGATTTAGAAGGCTATAATTTTGCTCTGAAAGACAGACATATATGGATAAGAGCAAAGCTTATGTAGACCACCTTTAGTTGATCTTTCATTCTCCCACAACCAGGATGACCACTTAATTGTGACATGAGTGGCTCTGGGGGATAACGTAAGCAGATGTTTTCACCTTAAATTTACTCTTCAGATCGTATAAATCTTGTGCCTTTTACTAAAGATTTTAATTGGAAAATAAGAAATGTAGAGGGCACTATCAAAAAGGCTGTAGGTTGACAATAGCTTTCTCTCTAAAAATTGTACTGAAGGGTACTCCAGCTTATGAATGGTGGCTTTAACACTGATTTTTGTATGGCATTTGGGTTGAAATAACTTTATCCTTTTGCACTTTATGGAATGGTACCTTATTGCAAACATAAACTGCAGAATCTCAGCTGTATCTCGTTATATGAATTGGGTGTTAGCTGTAGCCCAGCCCCTTGAGGTCCATTGTGAAAGCCTTTTTTTCCAAACACGGCAACTTTAAGATGTGTGGACTTCCAACTCCCAGAATTCTGGGAGTTGAAATCCACACATCTTAAAGTTGCCAAGTTTGAAAAACATTGTCCTAAATTTAAATACTGTCAGTTGGATTCCAACTTGCATACATAAAGTGGAAACATGAAACCTAAACTGAAAACCTTAACTTAAAAGACTCAATGTTACTTATGCAAGATAGGACCCAGTATTAAAAACAGTGTATAAAATAAATCCCCCCCCCGCTTGACACTTGAAGACCTCATGAATATATCCATGTTGTTTCTTGGAATCAGTATGGAACTGGTTTGCCATTGCTGCCCTCTGGGTTCTTGTTCTGACTTTCCAGTCTAGGACTAAGTGGGTCCAATCCTGCTTATTTTTCCATTTCGGTCAAGGCTGCTTAAGCAGAGGATAACGTAGGCTGAAGAATCCACATCAGACTTTCATCTTGAAAATGCTTTAATAAGGAAGTGTTGACAACACTGTTTTTGCAAAATGTAAAGATAACTATACAAATTCTTAATACAAAAAGAATAAATTAAAAGCTGATTTAAAAAAAAATTCTGCAACTCTTTCTACAGCGTATCTTCTTCTTGATCACTGCTGCACAGGAGTCAAAATCATTTTACATGCTTTACAGTCGATTTCAGAAGAGTTCTATTTTTAAAAATTTGGAATTAGAGTCAATCTTACGCCATATATAT